GGATCGGAATAGTTTATTTTGATTTTAATAAACTAAACGTTCTCCAAAAAACTTTAGTGAAAAAAATTGAAAAAAACGAACTACAAACATATTAACGCCAAACATTCAGTCGCATTCATAGACTATTGTAAATATATATAATTAATATAGAGTTCTGCAAAAGGACAAGGACATTTAGGAGAAAGTACAGTAGAGAGTAACAAAGATGATCAGAGGACTTAAAAATCTTGAATACCAAGATAGATTGAAAGAATGTGGATTGACAACACTGAAGACAGAGAGCAGAAAAGATCTGATACAAGCATACAAATTGATTACCATGTAAGAAAAAACACCGTTTACCAGATTTTTTCAACTGAAGAATAGAATAGGATTATGAAGCCCCAGATACAAGCTCTCCAAAAAATAGAAAGTGCCGTCAAGCAAAGTTTATTCAACAGTAGAGCGGTAAACACCTGGAATGGTCTGAGTGATAAGACGGACTCCGCGAAATCAATCAATCGGTTTCAAGATCAAACTCGGAAAGTTAGTGTATTAGGACACTTATCTCGCAGGGGTTCTCACACAGACTCTAATCTACTGAGCCACTTTAAAACCTGTTATGTTATGTTATGCGCTTTCTAAATTGTTATCTCAAAAGTGCTCTTAAAAATTATTAAAACAAATTATGACAAGAAAACGTTTCATTGATCAAAGAGATAAATCTTTAACGGCTTTTTAAAATTTTTGACGGAGAGATAAGGTTGTCGCAAGTAGCCGGGTAGACTGTTCCATACTTCTTGGCCAGTAATAGAAAATTTTTTTGAGCCAATCTTTAAACGTGATGCTGGATAGTCCACCAAATTTTTATCGTCACGGCGTAAAATGTATGGTTTTGAAAACGTCGCTTTAGCAGTGCATCTATCAGCTAAATACTTTTATCAACTTTCAACCAATGTAGTTCTGAAATTGGAGTCACGTGGTCATATTTTTCAGCTCCTAAAACAAGCTTGGCAGCACGGTTTTGAATGAGCTGAAGCATAGATATCATTTTGTCAGGTAGACCAAAAACAAACTTATGCAGTAATCTAACCTTGCATGTTCAAATGCATGGATCAAACTTTGGACTATATCTCTTTAAAGCAATCTGTTAACTATCCTCAACTTTATATATTGTTTATTTATTTATGTGTGTGTGCGCGCGCGTATGTATATGATACAGAGCATGCAGTTTGACTAACTTGGTGTGCTAGCAACAGTTGTAACTTTGGACTGTGTTGTTCCACCGATGGCTGCTTGAATGAAGAGCAAGTAATAATGTTAGATTTATTATTGATTGTAAAAAAAAACAGTAAATCAAGATGCACTGACTTGTTACTACGACGCCGCAAGACCAAATTGAAAGATCATTAATTGTTATCTGCTGAGTAGCAATTATTGGTGAAAATTCAAATTTCACTCTATTACCACTTGATGGAGTTGGAATATCAAAGGTCTGCGTATATCATTAAGTGATTATTAATTCAGGCAAATTACAGGAAAGTGAAAAGAGCATGACACGAATGAAAACTAACAAACTGATTACCGATTTTGTGATTTCCAAAAAAAATTTGTTGATTGGTTCGTTTAAACCAGGCAAGTACACTGAAATGTTCATCGAAGCAACGTTGGTTGACATTCCTATCTCAACATTCATTAACTGTTGTAAGCTAGGCAAGTAAAATTCAATTGTAGCAGATGTTCCATTCTTCGAAACAAAGCTTATATTTTTCAAATCATTCGACGCTAGTGAAGGATTAGCAGTAAAGGTCATGCCGAGTAATTCTAGAGCATTAGTTACTTTGCAAATTGTCGTTTTTGTACCTTCAGCTGAGAAAAATGTTTTAAATAGCAATAATGGAAAATTTTGAAATTTTGTTTCTTTTTTTTATTAAGATTTTGTCTAATGGATTGAAAATTAAAAATAAGGATCATTTTACTAATTGACTTTTGCAGCTGATAAACTGAAAATCATGATTTATTATAGATCATCTAACAAATGGTTGGTTTGCTGGTCATTCCAGGAAAAGGAGTTGTATTGTTCGCGATGATCAGAGATTTAGTCGAACCCTGTGGTGTGGACGGTTCGACAACTCGTCCTGGTGTTAAGGTCTCTCCAGGAATTGTAAGTTCGTGTGCTGAGGTGAAATGAAAAATGGCAATAACTAATATAAAAAGGTCAAGTTTAAATTATTCCAATTTTTATGATGGAAATCTTAATATTTAACCAAAAAAATAGCGAAAAGCATTAAAAATATTACGCGTAGTTGTTGGAATAACAATCGTAGTAACTGTTTCGGCGCATGTCCATATCTGTAAATCTCTGATGCTAACACGCTGGCTTGTATCTGACGTGCTAACTGTTAATTCAATTGAATTGACATCCGGAAAGTATGTACTGTAATCAAAGAAGCCGTTGGGATTATTTTGTACGACTACTTTATCCCAGATTTGCTCGTTGTTTGAGTTGTAGAATTTTACTTCCACATCAACTATATTTTGCGAGTAAAACTTTATTTGCATAATTGTTTTTGGATTAGAGGCAGTTACGGTAATGACATTTACTTCACTGCCACTTGGGAAAACGTATTCGAGCCGCGATTTATCATAGCCAGCATCGGGCATTGTTGAAGTTTGAGTTGCCTGTTCGTTCATTAGATTATTCACCGAGCATTGGCTAACAGCTGAATAATTGTTAGTGTTGAAAATGTTAAAAAAATGATTGTTTAACAATTTTTGTTATAGTCCAAACCTGTTGATAGTTTTGGCTTTTGAGTAACAACAGGACCTTGAGTAGTTAAAGCAGGAATAGTCGTTCCTTCGGCACATATGAAAATTTTTAAATCGTTAATTTTAAAGCTTTCATTGGGTTTTTTGGCCGTCAAATCTAACGTTATTGTTTTAACGTTCGGATAATCACATGTAACGAGCACATTTCCATCATCATGAACGGTGACATCATTGATATCGACAGTGTTACCATTCGGTGTTTTATATTCAAGTTTAACAGACTGAACATTTTCTGACTTAAAAACAACTTTTTGTACAAATTTTGTAGTTTCTGCAATTATTTTTATCTGCGTAACTCCACTGCTACCAGGAAACACAAAAGTGTTTTTAGAAGATCCAGCCATCAAACCAATGTTGGTTTCAGAAGTAACTGTTTGTTCTTTCATCAAATCACTGAGTTGACACTTCGATGGACTTTCCATATCTAAATGCACAGAAAAAAACACCGAATTGTAAAATAAAACAAAGTTAAACATTGAACAGGACAAAATATTGTGATAATTTATTACAATGAAAAAAAAGACCTCGTGGCGTAGACGGCTCGAAAAGTATTCCTGGTGTTAAGGTCTCTTCAGTAATTGTAAGTTCGTGTGCTGAGGTGAAATGAAAAATGGTAATAACTAATATAAAAAGGTCAAGTTTAAATTATTCCAATTTTTATGATGGAAATCTTAATATTTAACCAAAAAAATAGCGAAAAGCATTAAAAATATTACGCGTAGTTGTTGGAATAACAATCGTAGTAACTGTTTCGGCGCATGTCCATATCTGTAAATCTCTGATGCTAACACGCTGGCTTGTATCTGACGTGCTAACTGTTAATTCAATTGAATTGACATCCGGAAAGTATGTACTGTAATCAAAGAAGCCGTTGGGATTATTTTGTACGACTACTTTATCCCAGATTTGCTCGTTGTTTGAGTTGTAGAATTTTACTTCCACATCAACTATATTTTGCGAGTAAAACTTTATTTGCATAATTGTTTTTGGATTAGAGGCAGTTACGGTAATGACATTTACTTCACTGCCACTTGGGAAAACGTATTCGAGCCGCGATTTATCATAGCCAGCATCGGGCATTGTTGAAGTTTGAGTTGCCTGTTCGTTCATTAGATTATTCACCGAGCATTGGCTAACAGCTGAATAATTGTTAGTGTTGAAAATGTTAAAAAAATGATTGTTTAACAATTTTTGTTATAGTCCAAACCTGTTGATAGTTTTGGCTTTTGAGTAACAACAGGACCTTGAGTAGTTAAAGCAGGAATAGTCGTTTCTTCGGCACATATGAAAATTTTTAAATCGTTAATTTTAAAGCTTTCATTGGGTTTTTTGGCCGTCAAATCTAACGTTATTGTTTTAACGTTCGGATAATCACATGTAACGAGCACATTTCCATCATCATGAACGGTGACATCATTGATATCGACAGTGTTACCATTCGGTGTTTTATATTCAAGTTTAACAGACTGAACATTTTCTGACTTAAAAACAACTTTTTGTACAAATTTTGTAGTTTCTGCAATTATTTTTATCTGCGTAACTCCACTGCTACCAGGAAACACAAAAGTGTTTTTAGAAGATCCAGCCATCAAACCAATGTTGGTTTCAGAAGTAACTGTTTGTTCTTTCATCAAATCACTGAGTTGACACTTCGATGGACTTTCCATATCTAAATGCACAGAAAAAAACACCGAATTGTAAAATAAAACAAAGTTAAACATTGAACAGGACAAAATATTGTGATAATTTATTACAATGAAAAAAAAGACCTCGTGGCGTAGACGGCTCGAAAAGTATTCCTGGTGTTAAGGT